TATTAATGGCTCTTGTTAAGTCACAAGTCATTAGGATGGAATGCAAGAACCATACTAGGCACATCTTAAACTTCTCCGAAGAGGTATACCCATCTTCTCCTAACCTCTCCTCTAAATCGCGTGTCGTAATAGACGTCTGCCCCGCCAAAACCTTTCTAACCAAGTTTTCGGCTGCCCTACTCTTTTTTATTCTCTCTTGCTCTTCTGCTTCTTGAAATGCCCTACATCTTAGGCCTATCATCAAGGAAAATTCCATCATCCCAAAACGTAGTGGCTTCCCATCCACCACAAACCACATTTCATTTCTTTTTTTGCTTTTAACTGAGTGCAGCAACATAAAATGTACTGCCTGCCCTCAGAACACTTTACTCCAATTGTCTCTTATGTCCACAAAATGACCGAAACAACTATCTTTGAATCGGTCCATACCCCTCTTTTGTTCACCTAAAATATCATTTATTCTCGTAAACACTTGCCAACTCGACCTAACTGTCACACTTACAGGGAAGTATGGTATCCTATCGCTTACAACCTTGAACCGATAGTCTTTATATTTTATGCTTTGGAAACACTGCACAATCGATATAAGCTAAATATCAGCAAAAAAGAAACCCAAACAACCAATAGGCTGCTAATTTGGGGGATATAGGCATCGGGGAGTGGGTGTTTTTTGCTTCGAGAGGACCGGGGAAGCCAATACAGGCCCTTCAAAGGCTGTTGTGGCAGGTTTGATGGCTGAAGATGGCTGGCAATGGCAAGAGAGGGTGGAATAAGGGGGCCAGGGGCTCCCCTGCATATTGTAGGTCTGGCCACGCATAGCTGCGTGAGCACACAACTATGCGCACGCAACCGTGCAATATGCAGGGCAGCCCCCAGCCCCCCTATTCCGCCATCCCCAGCCCACCAACCTCCCACAAAAAACCTCTCTATGGCCTCCCTTGCCTTCCCTCATCCTTTGGAACCCAAACAAAGTCACTCCCCCGATGCCCGCCAATTGCTCAACAAAACGCCACAACCACCGTAACAATCAAAACCAACTACATATCCCCTAAATTCGCACAAACCAATAATTTTTCATCAAATGGTAAAAAATGTACCTTTTACTAATCGGCGTCCTCCTCCTCACGTGAATTTCTGCCGACGTCCTCCTCTTCAGAACCATTTTCGGATTTTCCTGTATGTTTTTGTGTCGCCGTCTTGTCCTCTACCGCTGGACCACCTTCACTGATCGGATGATCCACTGGAGCGTCTTCTTCGACAACCTTTGAACAGCTGCCGCCGCGGGACTCTAGGATTTGGAGTGGGGTTAGCTTTTCCTCCTATTTGTTAATATTAGCCATGATCTTTGTGTAACTAACAGCGTTACGAAGATTTAAGATCAAATATTGGCTGGAAATCGGGAACTTTAATCACCGAAAATCGTAGCGAGATGGGGTGTTTTCGTTGGTCGTTTTTTGGGTGGCCTCCTTTGATTAAGCGATTTTGAATGTGAGGGGGTTGTTTTTTAATTTTCAAAATTTAAACAAATTTCCATTAATTAACTATTACCCATGTACGTATCAATCTTTTCACTCTAGCCCCTTTTTGCATGTTTAGTTACACTTAAGTGTGCCACGTCAGGTTTTTAAAGTTAAAAAAAAAAATGCAAACTTTTTTTAGGGTCATTTTTTTAAATTCAAACTTGGGATGTCTAGCCAGTTAAATTTCCTTGTTGATTGTGTGGATTGGATATTTGAGTGAAGGATTTAAGAAATTGTTTTGTTTACTGTAATTAATTAATTGTGATAGCAATCTTGGGATGTAAACTTTCATTATAGCTATTTAGGGTCTAGGACAAAATCTCTCTTATGGTTGCCTTTGAGTTTGCCTTAAACCCATACTTATCTTTACTGCTCTCTCCCCCTACCACTTTGAGCAACAAAAGGTTTCTTAGTTGTATTTGCAACTTAATGTCTAGGATTTTAGGCGCTTTACCCTACACAAGCCCAATAACAGCCACTTGCCTTGGAGGTAGTTAAGACAATTCATGTCGTATTTCTTAAGCCTTGAGGCAAGAGGACCTTTACCTTTTTATGGACTTGCACTAACATTCTCCAGCTCTCTTATCTTCTATAAAAGCTTGTTATTAATTGGTTTGCACCTCCTCAATAGAGGCTTAGAGCACAATTTTACATTCTTGGGCGGAGGAAACTCTCAACAATTCCAATCTTGAGCTTCTTGTCATAGAGAAAAGCTTGAATACCACAATGGTATCAGCTCAGCAAGCTGGGTTGGTACCACAAACCACTAAAACTTTGACATGTGTGAATCTCATTAAGAATTGTATTTAATGTTTTGATATTAACTTTTTTGCTTAGAGCATTGTTTTATGAGAAGAAATGTTCTTCCTAGAAAAATGTAAGAATGTGTATGAAGTCATGAAGAAGACTGTACCGTAATGAATTCCAGTAAACTGCATGCTCCCATTAATTGGATAGCTTCAATTAGTTATTATCTGTTAAAACTATCAATGATGATGTATCCATAACCGGTGGGTTATATTTAATTGCTTGCATAGCTTCAATTAGTTATTGTCTGTTAAAACTATCAAAGATGATGTATCCATAACCGGTGGGTTATATTTAATTGGGCAAGCAGTACTTTAAATGAAAACAAGTTAGATAAATTTCAGTAAGGTTCAACATTTGTGAAGATAATATTGTCAAATTAACAATTAAAAGAAAAGAAAATTACAGTTTTCCGCGTGTATCTAGAGAAGAATGAAATTGAAATTGAAATTGAACAAGGATATCAAGGGTTTGAAGGGCGATGAAGCTGAGCAGCCATTGCAAGTTCAAACTGCTGTAAAGAAATTGAAGGAAATGAAATTAATTCTGTGTTGCTAAAACTACTTCCATTCAGTCCTATATGTGCTACATGTTTCACATCTGTTGGATATCCAATATCCATTTCTGCCTCCTTTTTTTCTTTATTCACTGTAATAAAGAAAAGGATGAATTATTTAACCAATGGACGAGCTTGTAAAGGATCGCATACTAGCATTTTAAGTAAAGGGCAATTAAAGATATGAAAAAAATAAATAAATAAAATATGCATCAACTCACCAAAAATTTGACGAGAAAAGTTTCTAATACTTGTGATGAATCTGTGTATAGGCCTTGGTAGAGATAGGAAATTGAAAAAAGACTTGTTTTCTTTAAATGAGCTCACTTCTCCTTGTAAGTATAGCTTTGGTTGAGAAGTAGAAGCCATGGATGGAGAAACCCAGAATCATAAATCTATCTTTGCATTTGCATGTGTGTTATTGGAATGAAAATGATCCTTTATTTATTGGCTTTATGAAAGAAGGTATATATATAATTATGGAGTGGAGTGGGTTGGGGTTGTTAAACAGTGCAATTGCACCTAATTTTATTTGTTGGAGTCTTTTCTTCGTCAACCTACCATCTCTTTTTCTTTAATCACCACCAAAACATTTTTTCATTAAATAAATTGTTTGTATAAAGCCAGCACATGCGTTCGGTTGGCAGAATATAAACAAAGGTACCTAAAAAGGTTTAAGATGGAACTATAGGATTGAAATTAAAAACACGAGAATTACACAAAATTGGAGAGAAAATCAGTTTTGCCCCCAAAAGTCTCACTTTGTGGGGAATTATGCCACTTTATTAATTTTATGCCATGTGGCATGCAACTGATACACCCGTTGGAAGCGAAGCAACCATGCAATTTAGAATTTCATTATTCCAGCATTGTCAGAATCCCTTATTCTTCAGTTTCACAAGATACAGCTATTTTAAGTCCTTGTAGTTTCAGTTCACCACTTGTAGTCCAATCGTTTCAAATATTTTTTTGGTCAAATTACTACTTTCAACTTATTATAATAGATAAATCTATAATAAATTGTGGTCGAGCCAATTGTTACTTGTCAAAGTTTTCTAAAAAAATTTGTGAGTATAACATTACTCTTAAAAAGAAGATTAAAGAAATAAAGACAAAAGGTTTTATTTGTATCAACAAACGTACACCATTTATCGAGCAACATACACTTTTATATCCATAAACAAACATTTTATTACACCTTTTTTATTAATAAACGGAATTTTTTTTTTAACTAAAAAGTGTAATTTGATTGATAAAGGTATCTGTTTATTGATAAAAATGAAATTTGTGTCATTTTTCATTTAATTTTAAAAAAGTATTCCAAGTGATTTAACCCACAAACCTTTTTTTTTTTTTTTTTTTTTTTAATTTGCCACTAGTTTGAGGGTTTTATCCTAAAAAATAACTATTTGCATGACGTATCTGAGTTTTCACCCTCAATATCTCTAGATACACTCATTTTACTTTATTAATTCCATAATTAAAACAAAATTATGAAAAATTTGTAGAACGTTGATAAGAAAAAAAATCTTAGTACTGGTATGGATATGTTTCGTGATTCATATAATATTAATACGCATCAACTATCATCTATTTTTCTTCACTGCTGTTCCGAAACTATTTGTAGCTAGGAGACGCCAGTACAGACCAAGGGAACCCAAGAAGAAACAAAGCTCATAACCTTTACGTTTTCCTTTTGCTTTACATGTCTGCATTACTTTATTACTCATATCTACTGCATTTTGTTCTTTAATTACTACTTTTCTTGCTCAAAATACACAAGACAATCTTACATTCATTTCAAGCCCCTCACCAATATCATTTTTTGGGATACTTTTCATTTTTTTTCTAACACTAAACCCAAATAAACACAATCTCCATTGGTTGTATTGTAGCCCCTTTAAAAGCGCAACCAAACGACCCATTACTTCTCACAATTGGTAGGAAAATGGTTCGTGCTATTGCTTTCTTCGTCTATCTCTCTCTCCTTGTTCTCTCAAGTAAGTTTCATGTATTAGCTTATCGATATCAGTTCTGAGCTCAGATCAGTAGAGGATTCTGATCTCTTTATTGTTTTCACTAATAAATTATCATCATTTCACTTGATAGGTGCTGCAACTTCAAACAAGATTGGCATCAATTATGGTCAGTTAGGGAACAATCTGCCGTCTCCATATCAATCCATTCAACTCATCAAATCCATGGAAGCAGGCCAAGTTAAAATCTATGACGCCAATCCTGAAATCCTGAAACTCCTTTCGGGAACCAATCTCAAAGTCTCCATTATGGTTCAAAACCATGAAATTATCGACATTTCTTCTAGCCAAACTTCAGCAGACCAGTGGGTCCAAAATAATGTCCTCGCCTACTATCCTGAAACCATGATCCGATTTATCCTCGTTGGCAATGAAATCCTCAGTTATTCCTCCCCACAAGATCAACAAATATGGCACAATCTAGTACCCGCCATGCACAAAATCAAGAATTCTCTCATAACTCAAAATATTCATAATATTAAAGTTGGTACCCCTTTGGCCATGGACATATTCCAAACCAGTTTTCCTCCATCAAGTGGAGAATTTCGGTCTGATATTTCAAATTTAGTGATGCTTCCATTGCTAAATTTCCTGAACCAGACAAAATCTTTTTTCTTCATTGATGTGTACCCTTATTTTGCCTGGTCCACAAACTCAATCAACATCAGCCTTGATTTCGCTCTTTTTAAAGCGACACAAAACTACATTGACCCAACATCTGGCCTTGTTTACACAAATCTTCTAGACCAAATGCTCGATTCAGTTATTTTCGCAGTCGAAAAACTCGGCTACTCGAATATCCCAATAGCAATATCGGAAACTGGGTGGCCTAACAATGGTGATATAGAGCAAGTAGGAGCCAATATTTACAATGCAGCTACTTACAACCGAAACCTCATCAAGAAAATGACTACTAAGCCAGCTTTAGGGACGCCTGCTAGACCCGGATTAGTGATTCCAACATTCATCTTTTCACTTTTCGACGAGAACCAGAAGCCTGGTCCGGGGATTGAGAGGCACTGGGGTTTATTTCACTCGGATGGTATATCAATTTATGAAATTGATTTAACGGGAAAGCGAGAATTATCTGATTACAAGCCACTGCCGGCGCCGCAAAATAATCAGCCATACAAAGGCAAAGTTTGGTGTGTGGCGGCTAGAGGGGCGGACGTCATGAGCCTCAGCACGGCTTTAACGTATGCATGCAGTCAGGGAAATGAGACATGTGATGCTTTGGTTCCAGGGAAAGAGTGTTATGAGCCATTATCGGTGTTTTGGCATGCTAGTTTTGCATTCAGTTCGTATTGGGCGCAATTTAGGAGCATCGGTGCCACTTGCCACTTCAATGGACTGGCCCAACAGACCACGAGAAACCCAAGTGAGTTTTTTTTTTTTTTTTTTTTTTTTTAAGTGATAAATTTGATTTGATTATACTTTTCTAATAAAATCAACAGAAATCCGCAATTTTGATGTGATAAACTTTTTAAATTAAACATTAAAGGAGTAGTGCATAATGAAAAGTACATTTACACTAGCAATTAGTAATTCACCTTCAAATTGTACCCATAAATAATTCTCCAATATTTCTTTGTTAATTTTTACCGATACAAATATTTTCATAACAAAAGGTTCTGAATACCGATTATATCCTATGCAAGACTATGTTTAACTTAACATGTAAACTAATTAGTTTTTTTTTCTAGTTTTTTATTTTATTTATTTATTTATTTAATTTGGGTATTTGGATAATTGTTTTTACAGGTCGTGGCAGTTGCAATTTCCCCAGTGTGACTCTTTAAGATGTTTAAGGCATTAAGCTAATGAACTGAAATAAGGAGCTGATATATATAGAAAATGACCAATTTTTTTTTTTATCTTTTCTCCTCTTACTTCTCCGTGGGTTATTTGGTAAAATGATCCCCTTGATGTCATTCAAAGAAAATTGACCATCATATTGTAATTTGTCAATTTTAACCCTTTCACCATATAAAATCTCATTTATATCCCTATTTGTACTCTCATCTCTTTTTCTTTGAATTGAATGAGGTTGAATTGTATCATTTTCAGTTCCAATACGATAATAAATGGGATAATTGATTTGCATGATTATGACTATATATTCCAATAATTATAGATCTGAATAATAAATATCAAAATATTAAACAAACTCAGTTTGTTTTACTATTATAGTATTTTTTTTTAAAATAAAGTTAAATTATCTTTACAAGAAAGATAATTATTAATGTTATGAGAATTGAATAAAGTAAAATTGAACTTTGAGAATATTGAAATAAATATAATTTTAGATTTTTAAAATAAAATAATAAAATATGATAGAATAATAATAATGAAACAAAGGTCCAATAAATTTATTTGGTTGTGGGTCTACTAGTAATTTTATTTTAAATAATTAAATTTGATTTAAATTAAACAAAAAAAACTTCCTAGATGTCACTTCGTTTCTTAATCTTTTGCTTTGACAGAAGTTGAATTATTCTGGAGATTTGACGTCACTTTGGGGCCACTCACAATTATGAAAACAATTTGTTGGGAAAAGCCAGGAAGAAAAACATGGTGGATGAAAAATAGGAACAGCGGGGGGAAAGGGAAAAAAGCAAAGGAAGGTGAGAAAGGAGTAAAAAGACTATTGTATCCTTGTTCATTGAACAAAACTTGGAGGGAGTTGGTGTTTTGGGTACGGTTTTTACTTTTTAAAACTTTCCACGGCAAATAAATTTTGATTTAAAAGTCATATTAATTTTCTTTTAGAAAAATAATTAATATTATCGCTCATATTTTGCTTATTAAGTTATACGTAATTATTTTAGAGATACAGTCTGATTATGTGCTCCATTAATTGTAAATTCAAAATAATGCTACGCTACTTCATATGGACACAAAATACGGGATACAATTTTAATAGTGCTACTAAAAAATAAGTGATCCTTATTACGTTAAAAATTACTTGTAAATTATATGTAATTATTTTAGAGATACAGTCTGATTATGTGCTCCATTAATTGTAAATTCATGCTATTTATTAATGGATCAAGCTATTCTAATACAAAAATTTTATAAAAATTTATGACTTAAAAATTACTTAATTAGCATTAAAATATATAACTCTAATTTCTTATTCAAGTTCATTTGATCACATTAATCCATATGGACCATTTTTTATTATCTTTTTTTTTTTTTAGAATAATTATAATTTTGGATTTTGGTAACTCGAGTTTAATTATGGATTTGGTTTTGGAAAAATTATTTCCTTACTCCGATTACAATTTCATCATGTTTGGGTTGATAATGAAGTTTTTTCTCATAGACTCTTGTTGAAATAGAAGAACTTAACCAATCTGTTAGTTTTGTTCATCTGTTTACTAGTTTTTCAGTGGTGAAGATTTCTCTTCTATGAAATCAAATCGAGTTTGGATTAAATTTTAAACGGAGATGAAACAAAAATTTGAAGTATTCAAAAAAAATTATTACATAGATGTATTTATTATTTTATTTAAAAGTCAGGATCAAGATAGTGACTTGGGGTATGTTTGACATGCAACATTGTATAGTTCTGTGATTCGCACCAACGAAAAGTATATAGGATCCGGGGTGGGATTTACGTAAGAGTTTATATAAAAATTGTGATTTTGATACTGGATCGATAGATGAATATGAAATCAAATAATAACACGAAGAGAAGATTTTTAAAGTGGTTTGAATACATAATACAAATCCTACATCTACTGTTCTTATATAGCTTTTTACATTTTTGCTATGTGCAAGTATGACTTATAGAGTATGAACGAAATCAAATCCCTAATTTGAGTGAAAAGTAAGCTTATATACTATTACAATAGTAAATTTGTAAATAAAATCAACCTAAAATAACTGTCAGAAAAATGACTCATTTAGCAAAATCTCACATGAGGTAGAAGTAAAAATGAAGAAAGGTTTAGGGACTTATATAAAATAAGTCAAAGGTTAGTATGTCCCCTTTTGCTTAGGAATGAAAGTGGGGAAACTTTAGTGGCCTGTATATAAGGACTCAAGTCATAGTTATAAACATCTCAAAATGTATTTCCATTATACCCCTCTTGTATAGGATTATTTCATTAAAGACTCTTTAGTTGAAAAATTTTATTGTATCTCCCATTTGTTTTGGGTAATTATTTTTATGCCTATATAGTTTGGGTATTTGTAGTATTGCCTAAAAAGTTTGTAATATTCTTTGGAGATAGTGAAGTTTTCTTTTGTAGCACTCGAGGATGTAGGTATATAATACCGAACCTCGTTAATTCCTGGTATTATTTATTTTTACATTTATTTTGATTATTTATTTCTACTTTACTAGTTGTTATTATTATATTCAATAACTAACGTTAGAGTTTGTGTTTCCATTGCATAACAATAACGGCATGTGACGTGAATCCGTACTTTAAGGATTTATTGCATAATATTTATCCTCTAGTTTTTTGAATTCAAATTTGGACTTCAAAACCTCATGCCTTGTGCTTGGATAGCTATCGCATTGCTGCGATCACGAGCAGCTATTGAAGGCATGAACTGTCGTCTTAGTGCACGGGTGCGAAGATGCAATCTCCTGCATGACAAACTCTTGTTGACTAAGGGTTGAATGTTCTAATAACACAATCTCCTTAATGGAAATTCTTATCGCTCAAAAAGAGGTTTTATCTTTTCTGCTTAGCATTTAATGCAGGTGTGGTCACATATGTAATGCAGGCGTGTTAAGATAACATCTCGTTTTTGTGCATTAATGTTTCCTTTTTGTTCTGTACTTTTTGAAAATGTAAAAAATTATTAATATAGATGGAAAGTGAAATCGTTTTCAACATGTTTGTCAAAAATAGTATTTTAAAATTAAAAAAATGAAAACGTGCTTCATATATTTGCTTGAAATTTGAAAACATTTTTAAAATAAATCATCAATGATATATGTATATATATTTCAAAATAAATCTTAATTTAATCAAATTAAAGTGTTGAATGAGATAAAACTGAAAATAAATAAATAAATCATGTTTGAAAGAGAAATTTGAGTTTAAAATTTTAATTTTAAATGTTTTTGTTTAAGAAAGAGAAAATATGTTGATAAGGCTGTGAAAAAACAACATTTTGCCTTCTATATATGGCATCTTTTTAGTCATTAATATTTAATAGTATCATTTGTATTTTTTATTCTAGATTTATAAACGTACAACATCTGCATAATTTTCAAGACAATGAGAACAAAAACCTGATAATAAATTCATATAAGAAAGGCCTGTCTATTTGTACTTTCACATGCTTCTAAAGACAAGACTATAGATGGATTTTTTAATAATTTTAATTGAAGGGTAAAATTAAACACAAAAAAAATTGTTACACATTAATTTAAGTTACTCTCTTAAATATAAAAGAGTAAACGGTTTTTCCCCACCCAAGGTTTGCCTTGATGACATTTTCCCACCCAACAGGTTTCAAAATATCATTTTCCCACCCAAATTGTATATTCCATTAATACCCAAAATACACTTCACTTTCTCAACCGACGGTTGATGAGCTACAAGGAGACATGGTGAGAAAGATTTTATAGAGTGGAGACTAGTGATCGAATGGTGGTGACTGATTGAATATTTGTCATTAGAATCAGCCGAAAATTAGCTAAGAACAGAAAAATCAAGTGTCAGAGTAAGATGAGTTTTGTAGAGAAGAAACCAGAGGTTCAAATGGTAGTGACAGAGAGAATTTTTGTTGTCGTAATCGGTCAGAATCGACTTGGGTAGTAACATAATATAAACTTTGAGTGGAAAATAGTATTTTGAAACCTTTTGGGTGAGAAAGTGTCATTAAGGAAAACCTTAGGTGGGAAAAAGTAGTTTACTCAATATAATACCCCTAAGTTGTTATAAAACAAAATCTCTTTAGTATTTTATTTTTTAACGACACATGATTTATCAAAAACAATACTTTAGAGGGGGTCTAAAAATCAATATTTATACTAAAGATTATGGTTGATGTAGGTGTCATAAAGCCAACCATAAAATAATATGATTACCAATAAACTATCGTGTAAATTGTTTATATAGATAGAGAGAGAGGTTTTTTCTCTTCTCATAATGTCCTGATAATTTTTACCATCATGAACTTAAATTTGAAACATTGGATTTTGTTAAGGGTTAAGATTTGTTGAAAACTTGAAATTAAAAAAAATACTTGATGTTACAGTTGTACATTATTTTAAATTGGGAGAACTACATTTTCCCACCCAAGGTATGATGAAACGACACTTTCCCACGCTTCAAGTTTCAAAATGACACTTTTCCACCATTCGTTAGGTTCTATTATGTTTTCTGTTAATATTTTACTAAAAGTATGAAAATACCCTTAAATATTTGACTTTATAAATTTTTTATTATTTCTTAATTAGCCAAAAAATCAAATATTAAAAAGTCAAAAATAATAATTAACCCAACCTAAAAAATTAAGAGTAATGCTATGAAATTATTTAAAGTTAAAATACCTTAATATTTATTTATTTATAATGCCATCAATATCTCATCACTATTATTCAATAATCTACTAAATTTATAATGTTTTTCATAATACAATATTTTTCATTTTTACTAATTAACACAGAAAATCAATATTCTTAATTACTTAAATAAAGGAAAAAAGATATATCTACACTTGAACTAATAAATAATCGAGAGTAAAGACTCTGACTTAACTATTAATTTATAATAAACTAATTAAGAAAATACTATTTGAGGGTATTTTCATCTTTTTAGTTAAATATTAA